AGGATGAAGTGACTTGCCCAGGGTCACACAGCTAGTAAGTGTCTGAGGCCAGATTTGAATTTAGGATGATGAGTATTCCTGACTCCAGGCCCTGCACTCTATCCACTGTACCCCTGTACAGTGTCATATATTTGTATTTACTCTAAATTTTCTCCCTCTGTGCTTGCCGACCTCACCTCCTTCTTCCATTGGTGAGTTCTTCTCAGAACCTCCATTTTAAAAAAATGTATTTTTTTAATTTATGGAATAAAACAAGAATTTCCATGACATAGTACAATTAAAAAAATGATTCTACATTAAACTGAAAATCTATTACATACAACTTGATAATCTTTTCAAATGTACAATAAAATTATCATGATAATTTCTTTTTTTCCTTTTTTTTCTCTCTTCCCCCCACCACCCTAGAGATGACTACTATTAGGCACAAATATGTGTATGCATACATATGAACATATATATACATTTTATTTTGAAGAGCAAAAGAGCGGGGGTTGCATTCAGAACCTCCATTTTGAGGAAGAGTCAGACCAATCCTCCTTCATTCTCAGGACCTCAATGCCATGTCCTTGTGTGGATATCTCCCTCCCAATCTCCAAACTTTCAGCTCCCTTTGGTATCCCCCATTAGAATGGAAGCTCCTCCAGGGCAAGAATTTCTTTTTGCCTATATTTTACCCCTAGTACTTAACACACTGCCTGGCACATATTAAACCCTTAATAAATACTTATTGATTTGACTTGCACATGTTGTTTTGAAGCAGAAAATGTAAGCTCCTTGAGGTCCAAGGTGATTTTTGTCTTTCCAGGACCTAGTACATAGTAGGCACTTAATAAATTCTTGTTTATTTTAACTGAGTGAAAAAATAAACAGGCTTTGTGTCCATTCCTAACACAGCAATGAAAAACCAACTGAAACCCATTAACCCCTTCCTCCAAAACATGAACTTACATACACATGCCTACTCACACTCATATATTCACACTTACATCACATGCTGGCACCTACGTAGAGCAGTTTCAGAAGTTGTGATGTTGGCAGAACTTATGCCGGATGCTTCTTCTACCTGCATCTCTCCTTTCAGCAGCCCCTCAAAGGTCCCTAATCCTTCTTTTCATGCTCCCTCCTGCCCACTTCAAAGGACTCTAGTTAGGCCTGGAGCCCTGCTTTCTTGGAGAGGAAAGCTGATAAACTAAATCAATCTGTATCTTTCCTTCTTACAACAATCCACCACCAGCCCAACCTGTACGTTTTAATGGTGGCCTTTAGAAGACAGTTCTAAAATCTAATCCAAAAAAAAATGTCTCTGAGATACAGATTTGGGGCACCTGGAAAGATTGTAAAAGACTTATTTGTGGTATATGGACGTTTTGGGGTCCCTTAAACCTGACCCGTGAGAAAACTGCCTATTTGGCCTAGGTCTATGTCTGATCTGAAAGCCACCCCTATTTCAACCTTATTTCATTCTATAAGAACCTAGGGCAGACTTTACAGGTGCAGTAATCTTGACCCAGAGAGTTCAGAATCAGAATTCATATCAGTGTCTCTCCACCCCACCACCCCTATAGCATTGCCCTATTATCTCTAGAAAAGGAATTCTTAACCATGAACCTTTAAAAATATTTTATTTTTCCCCAGTTACATTTAAAGACAATTTTTGACATTCTTTTTTTAAAAATGCTGAGTTCCAAATTTTTTTCTCCCTCCCTCACCACTACCCTCCCTGAAACAGTAAACAGTTTGACATAGATTATACATGTTCTATTAAACCATAAATTTTAAAAAATATTTTGATTACTGTGTTTCAAAGTAATTGATTTTCTTTTTAATTAGCTTCCTTTGTAACCTGAATTGTTTTATTTTACACCTTCAAAAACATTCTGAGAAAGGGACCATAAGGTTTTCCAGACTGCTAAAGGGGTCCACGACAGAAAAATGGTTGAGAGCTCGTGCCTAGGATCAATTATAAACTGCTCTGTTTGGCATTTAAAGCGCATATTTTAAAGCATGGCTCCACCCTGCCTTTCTATCCTTACTATACATTATTTCCCTTCACGTAGTCCAGCCAACTGACATTCCTTCGGTTTCTAATACACAACATTCTGATCTCTCCACTCTCATTGTCCCAGCATGACATAATTCATTCCTTACTCACCACCATTTTTTAGAATCTCTAGTTTGTTTGGGTTTTTTAAGGCCTAATACAAATGTCACCAATCCTCAACTTAAGGCCTTTCTCCCCACCATCTGCTGAGGCCTTCCAACTAAAAGTTATCTTGCACATATTTTATGCGTTTTGAATATAACTATACACATATTTATGTATATACATATATTTATATTTCTATATACTTTTTTTAAAAATCTGCTATCCCAACCAGATTGTAAATCTAGATATAGATTTTTAATAATCACCTTCCCTAACTTATAAGGGAGTTGATCGTAAGACTGTCTAGACTGTAAATTGTCTAGAATCTAGACAATGATCGAGATTCTAAATTTCTGTCCCAGAGGACAGATATTGTTTCACTTTTCTCTTTTCATCCCTAGACCCTAGCATGGTACTTCAATAAAATACTTAATAAATGCCTGTTGATGAATTGATGTTTGCTAAATAGTGCTTGGAGGATCTGATATAATGTGCTGTTCTTTATATGTAAAGAAGACAAAACAGGCCTAATGTTCAATAAATAAGACATTTTTCTAGCTGTAGAAATATGTTCCCTTGTAGAATGACCATGAAGATTAGGGGTCAAGGTCATCTGTGACATAGAAAGAGAAGGAGTTCAGTTCCTTGAGCAGAAATAGGAAACCCATTGACCTTAGTAGCTCTATGTTCTAAACAACTAAACTAAAAGTTAGTAGATATTTTAATCAGCTAACATTTCCCAGCCATAGGCCCCCAGGGGGAAATGCTTATAGTCTAATCAGCTTAAAACCCTCATTAAATTCCCCAGGATATACTTACACATAATGTTGAGGTAGGGGATCCCCAGGACTGCTTGTCTTCAGTGTTTCCAACCTCTTTTGTCTTTGCCATGCTCCTCACCTGTGTATCTCCTTATGAACCTACCTGTCCAGTGTTCCCATATTTGTACTCGACTATGTGCTCTTAAGGAATAAAGATCCCATGATACTCATTTATTATAAGGTGTAAATGGGAAAGAAGGGTTAAAATTATATCCTTCCTCAGACTATTTGCTTTTTAAGAAGTCTGGGCTTTAAACAAAAGAAATAATGATGGCTACTCATACATATTTATAGGGAAAACACTACCCTGGAAGGAAGGTGATGTAAGGGTGTGTATGTGTGTGTGTGTGTGTGTGTGTGTGTGTGTGTTTCACACCAGGTCTATAACTTTATTGGCATAGTAACTTTGGATGTGGAAGCTCCTCTACTATGCGAACTAGCAATCCATTTGCAACTCATAGTCTTAAACAGGCCCCTAAAGGGTTGTGGCTTGTCTAGGGTGTCACTGCCATTATGTATCACAGGCCCTCTACTACCTCCTGCCTCAATGTAAATATTATGACCTCCATTTTACAGAAGTGGTGCAGTGGATGGAATTCTGGGCTTTGAGTCAGAAAAACTCATCTTCCCCTAGTCCAAATCTGGCCTCAAACATGTACTAGCTGTGTGACCCTGGATAAGTCACTTAACCCTGTTTGCCTCAATTTCCTCACCTGTAAAATTATCTGGAGAAGGAAATGGTAAACCACACCAGGATCTTTGCCTAGAAAATCCTAAATGGGGTCACAAAGAGTCAAATGTGACTGAAATGACTGAACAACAGCAAAACTAAAGCTCAGGGAAATGAAATCACTCAAAGTCACCCCATTAGTAAGAGAGCCAGGACATAGTTTGTAGGACTATAGGTTTAAAACTGGAAAGGTCTTTTGAGATAATCAGTTTAACTTTCCTGTTTTCCAGATGATAAAACTGAGGCCTTGAGAGATTAAATAACTTGCCCAAAATTGCACAGGTAGGTAGGAAAGTAGTATATCTCCTGGTGCATCTGCTAATACTCTTTCCAGCTACCTTACATAATGCTTGGTTCAGTTTTTTTGTTTTGTTTTGTTTTGTTTTGATAGTTTACAATCCATTATATTAAAAGACTTAATTGGGGGAAAAAAGAGACTAAATATTTATTTCCCCTCTTTTCTATTTAGCCATCTGACTCTTTCATGCCTTTAATCTGACTTAGATAGCCCCCTATTGTATTTCTGCTGTAAATGCACCTTAAAGCAAATTCACTATAACATTTTAAAAGCTGTTTGCTTCTTAATGTGAGTTTGAAACTGCTCTCAGTGAAACACTTGTAGCATGGGAAAAAGCAAAAGAAAAACAAAAACACAACATGTGTCTGTCCTCTGAAAACAATGGCCAACATTTTATGAAGACCATTCTATAAGTTTCACACTTACTCTGAGAAATGACAGGCAACCGCTCAAGTTAACCAGTCAGTCACTCAACGTTTATTGAAACAGTTCGTTTAATGCCTGTGACACAAAGAAAGATGCATTTCATATTTATCGTGTACATGGCTCCTTCGTACATGCTTGTTTTCTTGTTATCTGCCTCCATGTCACTGCATTCCTTGAGGGTGGAGGCTGTCTTTTGACTCTTCTTTTATCTCCAGCTCTTCAGAGTTTAATAAATGTTTAGTGACTGACTGAAACAGAGTGTCTTGTTCAAACAACCTCAAGGACAGTGTAGATGAATAATAGCATATGTGGAGAGTTAGGGAGTATAAGGTATAAGAAGACTGGAAAGGAGAAGGGTGGATTGGATTTGGAGGGCTTTGAATGGCAGATCGAGGATTTGATATTTGATCCTGAAGGCAATAGAGAGTCATTGGAGTGTACTGAAGAGGAGTATGGGTAATGACGTGGTCAGACCTGTGCTTTGGGGACATCCTTGTGCCAGCTGATTGGAGGAAGACAGACAGGAATGTGGAGAGACCATGTTAGGGAAACAAAGCAGTAGGCTGTTCCAACAATCCAGATGTGAAGTGATGAGCACCTGCACTGGAATGGTGGCAGTGTCTGAGGGGAGAAGAGAAATTTCCAAGAGATGTTGCAAAGGTAATATCAGCAGGACTTGGCAACAGATTAGGTATGGGGAGGGAGGTGATGAGAAAGAACTGATAAATAGAAGTATGTATAGAATGATTGTGTGTATGTGTGTGTGTGTGTGTGTGTGTGTAATTTATATGTGTCTGTCTAATGGTAGCCATTGGGGGGGAAGAAAAAAAGGGAAAAAAAGAAATTTACATGATAGTGTTATTATATATTTTAAATGAATAGCAAGTTGTACATAATGGATTTGCAGTTTTATGGGTAATCATCTTTTTTTTCTATTCTACTATGATATGGAAGTGCTTGTTTTATTTCATAAATTAAAAAGAAAAGAAAGAAGAAAAAACAGAATGAGGAGTCAGGGATGGCAGCTAGGTTTTGATCCCGGATGACTAGAAGGATGGTGGTATCCTCAACAGTAACAGGGAACTTAGGAAGAGGGTAGGGTCGGGAGGGGAGTACAGAATATAGGAGGTTAGTTTTGGACACATTGAGTTTAAGATGTCTATAGGACACGCAATTCAAGATGCCTAAGAGGCATTTGAAGAAGCAAGAGTATAGGGCTGGATAAGTAGATCTGAGAATCATCAGTATAGAGGTGATAATTAAATCCATGCAAACAGGTGAGATCACCAACCTTTGGCTATTCAGAGCATGCTGTGTTATGCATAACATTTTTGAATTCTGTGTTCCACTTCATCTACTTCTCTATAATCCAGCTCATATTCAACTAAGATAACTCAGGTAAAACTAAGAGATCAAATAAACTATCCAGCTTCTGTGGGAGAGATAAAGAATTGCTGAAATGGTAGAAAGACTAATAAGATTGACTAGAAAAGGGTTATACATTTAACATCAGTAATGTAAGTGTATATGCACTGTGGCTTGGTATAGAGAGAGCCATCAGCTCTGGAACCAAGGTAGACCTAAATTCATATACTTGCATGGGCAAAGCACTTAATCTCTTAGTGCTCTAGGTAATTCTCTAAGACTATAAATTACAGAGAAGAGAGCCAGTTTTCCTCATCTGGGAGTTCCCTATACTAGTGGTTTTGGTTTCAGGATTCCTCTATGCCCTTAAAAATTACTGAGGATTTCCCCTCAAAGAGCTTCCATTTAGGCAGACTGTGTTGTCAATGTTCAGTCATTTCAGTTGTGTCTGACTCTTTGTGACCCCCCATTTGGGGTTTTCTTGGCAAAGATAGTGGAGGGGTTTGCCATTTCCTTCTGCAGCTCATTTTACAGATGAGGCAAACTGAGTTAAGTGACTTGCCCAGGTTCACACAGCTAGTAAGTATTTGAGGCCACATTTGAACTCAGGTCTTCCTGACTCTAGGCCAGAGACTCTATCTACTAAGCCATCTAGCAGTCCTGTGTGGATTGTATCTATTGATCTTTACTATATTAGAAATTAAAATACTTTAGTATGATTATGAAAATAGTTTGGAAAGATCTAAGGAACCATCCCAGGGTACCCAGACTGTAGTTTCCAAACCACCTGCCCTTTCCAAGGATATCACAGGATCTGTACCTATCCCTAATTCATTAACCAAAGCTGTGATGGTCAAATCTGAAAGAGCTGGAAACTATACAAGTTCTTCCAAATGGCCAAGAATCTTTCTGTGAATGGAGATGGGGATGTAAATGAAAGGATGCACTAGCTGTTCATCCTGTCCTGAGAGCAGAGATGGCCAGACTAAGAAAAGAAAAAGGTTTCTTGGCTTAAAGACCCATTATGCAAATTATGCAAATTATCATACAAACTTAACAGTTGCAATTTCTTTCCTTCCTTGTTCTTCCATTCAACCAGTAATCTCACTTCTACTACTCTTCAGGCTTTTTCTAGAACTTATTTTCTTCAGCTATCTAAGTAAATGAATCAGGTCTTTATCTCCAGTCCCACATTTGCAACTGCCTAGTAGACATTTCTCCAAATTTAAAATGCCTAAAACCAGATTCACCATTTTGCCTGACTTACTTGCACCCCATATACAAATGACTTCTTCCCCAAAACAAACAGACAAAAAACAGTCTTCGTTTCTGACTTCACTAATCAGCATAATGGATAGAGTCCACTGGAGACTTGTAGAAACTTGTAGTCATGAAGATCTGAATTCAAATTCTTCTACTTCACACACTTACTAGCTATGACCCTGGGCAAGTCACTTAACCTCCTTTCCTCACTTGTAATATGGGGATAATAATACCATTCACCTCACAGAGTGGTTGTAAGGATTAAATGATGTAACATGTGCAAAATGCTTTGTATACCTTATAACACTAGATGAATGATGGCTTTTATTATGATTATGATTATTAAATATATACCCATTCCCCCAGTCCTCTGGGTAAGAAACCTCAGAATCACCCTTGACTCTTCCCTTTACTCCAGTCACTAAATCCTATCAATTTCTTCCTTCATAGCTGCATTTATCCTCCCAATTATCATTGTTGCCACTTGAATACAGGTCCATGGCATTTCACACCTCTATATGGCATATTCATGCCATCACAACTTCATGTCTACTTCACACTCTACTCTTCCCATCGATTCATCTGCACATTGACACTGAATTAATTTTCTTAAAGCATTGTGTTGATCACTTCACTTTCTTGCTCAATCTTCATTGGTTCCCCATGGCCTACTAAATGAAACACAAGCTTTCTAGTCCAGAATTCAAAGCTCTTTACAATATGTCCCTAATTTATTTTTTCATTATTTTCCTACAGGAATGGTATGTTCATACTCAACTGCTCCTTATCCCTTTAATGTGCTATGGGTTTTTGTTTGTGTTATTCTCTCTGCCTGAAGTGTTTTCTTCTGTCCCACCCCATTCCGATCTCCCAAACTGAATCTTATCCATTCTTCAATGTTCAATTCAAATGTCATCTTTATGAAATGTTTCCTGGTCACACCAGTGAGAAGGGATCTCTGCTTCTGAACTCCTATAATACTTTTTTTCTATAACATTGTACTTCAATTTTCATAATTTGAATGTGCCATATCTCTATATTTACTCTACCAGTTATAAATCCCTTAAGGGAGCCAAGAACCAGGTATTTTATATTTCTGTATCTCCCTTGGCATCTTGCATATAATCAGAGCTCAGTAAAGATTGATTTGTATATTGACTCTTGCTTCAGTTTTCTCTTCCAAGGAGAACAGTCTTTGGACTGGGAAAAATACAACAAAAGTAATTAATAGGCATAGCAACCCAAGATAATTGAAGAGATGGTCAGAGAACATTTAGCTACCCTCAAGTCAATAGACCCAGAGAAGAAAACCTAGGGGACTGAAGAAAACAAACAAACAAAAACCTCATGGGTGTGATTGAACCTCAGTTAGTTACATTTGAAAAATTACAGCAAATAAGAAAGGTATCAAGCTTTATTACTAAACAAGGCAAATATTGAAAATTTGAAAAAAGAGAAAGGGGAGAAAATAAGATCAAGCTTGAAAACTATATGCCAGTGAGCTTGACTTCATTATTAAAATTCTAGAATGCATTATTAAAGGGACAGTACCTGAAAACTCAGAAGTGGAAAAAGGGATCACTAAAAGTGGACATGGCTTCATCAAGAATCAGTCATAACAAACTAATTTAACTTCCTTTTTTGTTTTTTTAATTTAATTTTAATTTATGAAATAAAACAAACATTTTCACAACACAGTACAATAAAAAGATGATCGTACATGAAACTAACCTACTATGTACAACTTGCTATTCCTTTCAACTATACAGCAAAATTATCATGTAGATTTTTTCTTTATTTTTCTTCCCTTTCCCCCACCCTAGAGATAGCTACCATTAGACACAAATACATGTATGTATGTGCATATGTGTGTGTGTGTGTATGCGTGTGTGTAAAATTATTCTATATATTCTATATGTCTATTTTTTAGTTCTTTCTCTGGATGCATTCTTAAAACAATATTGCTATTACTCTTCTTTTGGTTCTGCTCATTTTGCTCTTCATTTTTGCATGCAAGTCTTTCCATGTTTTTCTAAGATCATTGAACTCATCATTTCTTATAGCACACTAGTATTCCATCACAATTATATATCACAACCTGTTCAACCATTCGACAATTGATGGGCATCCCCACAATTTCCATTTCTTTGCTGTCACAAAGAGAACCACTATAAACATTTTAGAACATATAGGTTCTTTTCCTTTTTCCTTAATTACCTTTTGAAAAAAGACCAAGCAGTGGTATTGCTGGGTGAAAGGTTATAAGTAGTTTAATAACTCTTTGGGCATAATTCTAAATTCTTCTCCAAAGTGGCTGGATCAGTTCACAATTCCGCCAACAATGAATTAATGTCCCAATTTTTCTACATCCTCTCCAACATTTGTTACTTTTTCCTTCCATCATTTTAGCCAATCTGCTAGGTGTAAAATGATATCTCAAGATTGTTTTAATCTGCATTTTTCTAATCAATAATGATTTAGAGTGTTTTATATGACTATAAATTGTTTAGATTTCTTTATTGGAAACTGCCTGTTTATATCCTTTGATCAATTTGATCAATTGAGGAATGACTCGCATTCTAATTAGTTCTAATTACTATTGTGAATTTCCCTCTGTCTTATTTTTATTCACTATTTTCCTTCTCAGCCTCTCTTTTTACCCTATCCCTGTTACCTTATCTTTCCCCTTATCCTCTTATTCCTTATTTTACCCACTCCTCTAAAATTCCCTCTCTTATCTTCTCTCCCCACCTTCCTAATCTTGTTCTCTATACTTTTTTTAAAGTCTCTTCCCCACTCTATCCCCAAGTTTTCTCACTTCCTTTTTTAAAAGGGTAGAATGGTATAGACTCTGTACTACAGAGTGAAGGATTATGCTTCAATTTCATTAAGCATTTGACAAAGTGACTCATGTATGTTTAGGGAAAAGATAGGGCTGAATGTTTAGTTACTATTTTTAGAACTTGAATGACTGGACTCAAAAAGTAGTTATCACTGGGGCAATGTGAACTTGGAGTGGAATACCCAAGGAATTGGTACTTTAGACTGTGATATTTAACAATTTTATCAATGACTTTAGATGGGCCCATAGATGATGTGGTTATCAAGTCTGCAGATGACAGGAAGTTTCAAGACTTAGCTGGCACATTGAATGGTTGTCAAGATCCACAAATATCCCAAAAGGATTTGCACAAGAGGCCAATTTTTTAAAGGTGAGATATAAATAGGGAGAAGTTTAAAACTATATGTTTGAGTTTAAAAAAAAGGTCAATTTCACAAATTTAGGAGGTGGGAGGCAGGACCAGACATGAATAAGATTCATGTGAAAACAAATCTTTGAAGAAAACAGTGATGCATGGTAGCAAAAACAGCTAATGCCATTCTAGGCTACACTGAGAATGTGCAAATTCATTGTTCTAGATCCTCTGCCGTGGTCAGAACATTTCAGGAGTCCTGTGCTTAGTTCTGAGAAGCGTGTTTTATAAAAGATAGGCAAGCTGGTGGGTGTCCAGGAGACCCGAATGCTAGGGCTGGCTCAGCCATTCACTGTCTGTGTGATGCTAAAGCGGTCTGAAATTGAACTTGAATCCAGGTCTTCCTGACTCAAGACTAGTTCCCTGTCCACTACACTGCACTTCTTATCACAATATATACTGATTTCCTGCCCATCTCTCTCTCCTGAGTTAATAGTGATATTTCTTCTAGTGGTAACTTCCCTTTATTTATCCTATATGTTCTAACTTATATATGTTGTTTCCCTCGTTAGAACATAAACTCCTTGAGGGCAGGGGCTGTTTTTGCTTCTTCTTTTTATACTTGTGCTAAGCACTGTGCCTGGCACATAATACATGTTTACCAAATGCTTGTTGACTGATTGACTTTAATTTGGAGTATTTTATAGTTTTTTATAGAATTTATGTACTTCCTCATCCTTTGCAAAAGATATGGGAGGGGCAGCTAGGTGGCCTAAGGGACAAAGCACTGGCTCTGGAGGATCTGAGTTCAAATCTAACTTCAGATACTTACTAGCTGTACGACCCTGGACAAGTCTTTTAACTCAGATATTTTGCTGTGCCTGTTCTCTGTTCCATTGCCAGTTCTCTCAGATTTTCTAAGCAAACCAGCAAGTCATTAGCAAATAATGGTAGTTAGGTAGTTTTATCTTGTCCTTTCCTATGTTCATACCTTTAATGTCAGCTGGGGCAGGGGAATGGGTAGAGGGGAATTAGTAAAGGCACAGAAGGCATAGCTATAGAAAGCAGTGCTTGAGCTAAGCACAGAAATGAAACTAAGGAATCTAAAAGGCAGAAGTAAAGAGGGAGTTCATTCCAGGTATGAGGGATGCCAGGTGAGCAAGGGAGCACAGTGGATAAAGCACCAGCCTTAGAGTCAGCACATCTGAGTTCAAATTTGGCCTCAGACACTTACTAGCTGTGTGACCTAGGATATGGAAACATAAGGTACAATATTTTCAAGGAAAACTTTTTTCTTTTTTTTTTGGCAAAAGCTTATTATGAATACTGTAATATGAGATGACCAAGTGACCCATGAGATGATGTTTCTGCTTCCCTTTAAATGAATAATAAAACTAACTCCTTTGTTTATCTCACCAAGGAAACCCTGTGAGCCATCCTTCTACTGAGCAGCAACTTCCTTTTATCTTCTGGATTCATTTGCAGTGAGAAGGTCAAAATTCATGTGAGTTAATTCCTTTAGTAGTATGTCAATGGAGCATAGATCTTGAGCAGGAAAGAATCTTAGGGATAATCTAGTGATCTCTAAACTAGATCAGCTCTGACCAGAAATGCCTCCCAGATTGTGGGGGGGAGGGGGAGGTTGCTTGTTGGCTTTTGGTTTTTGGTTATGTTTTTTTTAAAATTTTTTTAATTTTTTTGGTTTGTTTGTTTTTTTGACTAGGTGAAAGAAGCCATTCTTTGCCTCATTTCTTGCCTAGCCTTAATCATTGAATGGGAGTTGCCTCAGACAAACTGAGAACTGGGAAAGCCCTTTGCTTAAAAAGGCCAAGGTCCCTCACTGCATCTGGAGCCATTTCTATGTCTTGCTGCTGGGCCCAGACGGGTCCAGAGGAGAGAGTGAGGCTGGTAACTTTGCACAGCCCTGCCTCACTTAAATCTAAATTCACTTGTGAGTTGTGGCATCACTTTCCTCATGTCATGTTCTTCTTTGAGAACAAAGGACAAACAACAACAACAGCAGATCAGTAGGTAGCATGTCAGACCTTGAGTCCAGAATCCCTGGGTTCAAATCTGGCCTCAGACACTTATTAGCTGTGTGATCACTTAACCTCTGTCTCCCTCAGTTTCTTCACCCATAAAACCAGAATGACAATAGCACCTTACCTCACAGGATTGCTGTAAGGATAAAATGAGATAATACTTACGAAACACTTTGTTGACTTCTTTGGCAGGCTGGTGAAACTTGGATTCCTTCTCTGAATCATGTTTTCAAATGTATAAAATAAGATACATTGGATTACAAAGTAAACCAAAGGTTAATAAAAAATGAAGACATAATGTTTCCCGATCCAATTTCATAGAGCCCTTCAAATCTCTCCATGAACCCTTTAGGGGTCTAAGGACCCCATGTTAAGAACCCTTGATCTAGTGCAACTCCCTCAATTTATAAATGTGGAAACTGAGTTACAGAGAGATTAAGTGATTTACTCAAGGCCACACAAGGACTAAGTAGCAGAGCTGAGATTAGAACTCAGGTCTGGTGACTCTTAAGTTTAACACTTCTTCCTAGTGTCTATTGATACCTGTACAGGATCTTATATTTAAGGTAGCAACCCTGAGTTAATGTTTACATGGTCTAAAAACTATGTCATTCTTAACTTACTTTGTTTCCTTTTTCACTACCCTGTTCGCCATCACTGAATAAAGGGGTGTGGGGGGAGAACAGGACTGAAAGCCAGTTTGTATTTTTCTTTGTTTCATGAGTGATCATGACCAAAGAATTTAACACCAAGTGGCCAACCTACTACATTCAATGAGGCAGGTCCTTGGAAAAAAAGACCTATTCTGTTCTTGGAACTAAATTAAAAATCTTAAACTGTTCCAGAGTTTGTGCTCCGCCTGCATAGCCTCATCAAAAGCATATCATGTCCACGCTACCAAAGACTTTTGTAGAAAAAGAACAAAAAAAGAATTAATTAGCATTTTTAAGGTTGGTGTAAATTGTACATGATTGCATGGTGGAAGGTATTTTAAATGTTTGAAAATCACGATTCCTTGTATGATTTTTTTTTCCTTTACAACCTCCCAAGCGTGGCCTTATGAATGATTAAAAAAAATTTTTATTCAAAGTTCTCTTTGTATAAGGCAGGGGTGGGGAACCTGCAGACTCCAGGCCATAGTCTAGGACCTCAAGTGTGGCACTTTGACTGAATCCAAACTTCACAGAACAAATTCCCTTAATGAAAGGATTTGTTTTATAAAATTTGAACTCAGTCAAAAGGCCACACCCAAGGCCCTAGAAGGCCAAGTATGTCCTCAAGGCCACAGGGTCCTCCTGCCTGTAAAGTAAAACTGAAGCATTAAGCATCTTAGTTAGGGAAAACAATCTTCTAAACTGGAATAGACTGAAGGTTAAGGAGTTTGTATTGAGTTTTTTCTATCTCTAAAGGGTTCAAAGAAAAGCCAAATGAACACACATCAAGGATTTTGTAGGGGATCATCTTCAATAGGAGCTGGGCTAGATGTCCCCCCAGGTCACTTCTTATTTGATGTTTCTATCCTTTGCTTAATCTCCACAACTCAATGAAATGGTAAAGCCAGGTCAGTACTCCAACCCAGGGTGCATCCCCAGAGACCACTGCCCCTAAAAGGAAATGTAGTGAGCTCATGGGAGCAGAGGCTGTCTTCAGACTTTATTTTTAACCCCGGAGTTTCACACAGTCTCTGGTAAATCGTAGGAGCTTAATAAATAATTATTGACTGATTATTCTATTATAGAGCAAAGATTGTTGTTATTATTATTATTGTTTGTCCTTTGTTCTTGAAGAGGACCATGGCATCAGAAAGGTGATGCCATGATTTGCAAATAAATTGGATTTAAGTGAGGGAGGGCTGTGCAAAGTCACCAGCCTCAGGAGGCAGCATGACAAAGTGAACAGAGCATTGACCCTGGAGTCAGAGAGCCTGGGTTCAAATTCAACCTCTAAGACTATTTGGATGACCTTGGTCAGATCTCTTAACCTCCTTGGGCCTTGGTTTCCTTACCTGTAAAATGAAGGGCCCACATTAGATACTCTGAAGTCCTTAGCAGCTCTAGAACTATGATTCTGGGATTCAAATGGATGATTCAGAAGGCATCCAGTTATCAATTCTAGAGTTCTTTTCTGACCACTCCTATTATTTGTTTTATTTTTATTTTCAGTATAGAAACAATTTGTACTACTCCTACAATGCTATGACATAAATACCTGAGGAAAGCCACATACCTACACAGTTTAGTAATTCAGGTTTTGAAATATATACTGTAATCACAACTATAGGCCAACAAGAACACAGGGACAGTATGGCATATTAGAAAGAGTCAGCAAACTATGGCCTGAGGACCAAAGCCTAGCCCTACCTGTTTTCATACTGCCTGTAGAGCTAAGAATGGCTTCTTACATGTGTAAATAGAATTTTATTGTTTATTGTTTAAAAACAATAAACAATAAAATTCTGTATAAACATGTAAAAAGACATCTTAACTGTAGTCATCCAAAAACAGGCACAGTTTGCTGAGCCCAGGCTGGCAGAGATGAACTGTGTTTTGTACCCCAGGTTTTGCTACTTAGCTACTTGTGTGACCTTGAGCAAGCAACTGACTCTCCCTAGGCCTGTTTCTCCATCTGTAAAAGGAGCAAATGGACTTATGACTTTAAGGAAGGGGATCTAGATGGGTGAGAGGAAGGAACCATCACAAGAGTTCATAAGGCAGCTCCCATACCAACATGTCTGTTGGGCAAGGACAGTCTGAATTTAAGGACCATCTTATGAATAGTCACAAGAGGGAGCTCTCTGGCCAGACTTCAGCAAACGAAGCCTTACTATTGAAGATGTGATTTTGAAGATACAGGCAGAAATTCAAATTCTCCACCACTATAAGAACAAACAGCAACAACAGCAAAAACAACTCTGGGTCTGTTCTTACAGAACTGACCTACTAACTAAGCCAAAAGAAATCTGATTTCCTGCTTTGCTTCCTATGTTTCAGTATCGGATCATCAACTGCTTCCTGGACATTAGGAAGTGCCATTTTGACATTTTTAACTAGATGTCAAATACGTATCTTAAATTTAACACAAAAGAACTCATTATCCTCCCAAACCTTCCCATCTTCTGAACTACCTGGATTCACAATTTCAGTGTCATCCTTGATTCTAAGTTCCCCGTACAAACTCTATTTTGAGGAAGGGCCCAGATCAATTATATTTCATTCTCCAGATTTCCCCAACATTTCCTCACATGCATATCTGCTCCGCTGCCCAGTTTCAGCTCCCTTTTATGTGTTGTCTTCCTCCATTAGAATATAAGCTCCTTGAGGGCAGGGATTATATTTCTTTTTGCTTGTGTTTGTATCTCTGGTGCTTAGCTTTGTGTCTTAATAAACGCTCATTGACGTGATTCTCACTTACCCCATGCATCTAATCAGCTGCCAAATCTTGTTGCTTCTACCTTCACAACATCCCTTTCATCTGCACCCTCCTCTCTACTCACACAGTCATTACCCGAGTTCAGGATCTCAATACTTTTGTTGGTGGACTATCATAATAACTTCATAATTGGTGTCCCTACCTCATCTCTCCCCCATTCTAATCCATTTTCCACATCACTGCCAAAGTGATTTTCTTTAAGTACAGATCTAACCATGTCATTTCCATTCTCAATAAACTGCAGTGGCTCCCTATTACTTCAAGAATCGAGTATAAACAGCTCTGTTAGCTATTTTAAAACCCTCACAACATGGCCCCAGCCTATCTTTCCAGCTTTTTTACTTGTTACCCCCCTACATGCACTATAATCAGCCAAACTGACCTTCCTACTATCTTTTATATATGACGCTATCTCCAGATTCCACGTCTTTGTACTGGCTGTTCCCTGTGCTTAGAATTCCCTCCCTCCCTCAATTTTAAAATCTCTAGTTTCCTTGAAGATTCAACTCAAAATCCACTTTTTATATGAAGTCTTTTATGATCCACCCAAATGCTAGTGTCTTCTCCCTAAAGTTCCTTTATATCTATTTTGTATTTATTTTTATACACCCACATATGCATGTCTCACCCAATAGACTATAAAAATCTTGAGAGTAGGGACTGATTGCCCATTGTCCAGAATAGGACCTCCCACACAGCAATTCTTTATGAACTTGATTAACAGTTTTTGATTAATTGATATGGTAAGATGGCAAGTATTTCTTTGAAGATTTTCAGCATCCCTAACTTTCAGTTCAAATTGGATAGAAAACAAAGGGCTTAGAGCTACAGAGCACAAGATTTCAGAAAAGGTTTCATATAAAAGCATATAATGGGAATTGCTGAAGGTCAATTTGCCTTTGCAAAGGCAAAGTTGTCTTTGAAGAATACCCCAGCCTTTATTTTCTCTGAGCTTTTCATCTTTCCCTAATCCCCTTCAGAAGCTTGGAATCTTTCTTCTCTTTTCTCCTTACCAAACCCTACCATTAGGCAAGAATCTGGCATGAGTTCCAGGCATTTCAGTGTGGCGATAAGAATGTAGCATTTAGAGACAAGAACCCTTGTCTGTAATTTACTAGCAGTGCAACCATAGACAACTGACTTAGCTGATCTGAGCTTCAGATTCCTCATCTGTACAATGGGGGAAATAGCACTGGTACTGCCTGCATGGGCAGGTTGTTCTGGGAAAATGATTGGTAAAATATAAAACTATAGAAGTGGGATTTAGAGGGGCAAAGCCATGAAGGTGAAATA